GTGAGAGGTTGTTTATCGTAACATAATTTAACATTTTGCATCTGCTCATTAAATTGATTGAAATCCCTGGAAATGTTGGAGAAGAGAATTAAAACAAATAATTTGATTCCGCCGCTTTTATATTTTAGAATATTTTTCCAGCTTTCATTTCGTAATGATTTCCTTTTAATAGTTTTTAAATGATTTCATTTCCACAGTTTTTATTCTTCGTAACGTTTTACTTTACATAACGTTTTACATTGCGGGTTTTGTTTGAAATATTCATCCTAAAAAAATAATTTAAAAATTTTATTTTTATCATTTGTGTTATGAAACTGCGTTTTAAACTCTTTCGTTTTATGTAGAAAAAAAACCATGTTGTAGATTGTTTGTTTTAATTGTTTTTAAAATCGTGGTGTTTAGTATTAAACATAATTTACCTGAAAATAGCGAAAAAATAATATGTAGTATTGTTTCCTATCTTAAGATTAAAATGTTGACTTTCTTTTCCTTGCTATTTTTTCACAATTTTGATAATATGGTGCATTACAACACATTTCCATAAAAAAAAAGGAAAAAATATGAAGATGTTTAGTTTCATTAGATTGGGAGGAATAGCATTTGATAATTTCTAAAGATTTTTTTATCAAAAATTTAAAACAATCAAACAATGCGATCAGCAATTTAGGATAGGTAGTTTAAACTTTGCATTTATTAGTTTTTCAATTTTTCAATAAATCTCTGGAGAAAAAACATAATAGGGGTTACTTTAAAATTAAAGAAAAGAAAAAGCTTTCTAGCTCAATGAGGAATTTATATCCAGAAATTTGTATTTGTTTTTATAGAATTAGAAGAAAATTGTTTATTATTAGTCGAGAGAGATTAAATGCATTTTAATCTTTAAATATTTAAACTAACTTTCCGGAACCTAATTCTGTTTATTATCCACTTAGTTTTTTAATTGTTTTTTAAGAAACATAACTTACTGTTTTAAATAAATGCATGTATATATATATATATATAGAGAGAGAGAGAGAGAGAGTGAGAGAGAGGGGGGGGAAAGCAGTGCACTCTTTTTTTGCGGATATGATCGTGTGAGCTGATGACAAGATTATATCTTTTCCGTATTTTGTTTTCCAACTTTTTAATTTTTTTTTAATACCTTTGAAAAAAAATTTTATATTTTTTTTCTTCATATTTTCTCTATATTTTAAACTTATTTTATGAGTTCTACATACCTGCAGCCTATGCGCTGCAAATAAAAATTATTACTATTTTTCTTTATTTTCTTCGTTAATCTCTCTATTCTTTTATCCTTATTGCTAGAATATGTTGATAGATAATTTTTCTATGATCAGTAAGTTGATTTTTAAAAAAATATTTCATATTTAGGCCATCAAAATATTACCCCTTTATTTTGAACAAAATTTTAGTTTCCGTAGAGTAAAAAAAGAAAGAAAAAGATAAGGAAACCATCCCGTTTTCAATCAGACTTATTTAAAATAAAATAAAGAGCAACCAAGCAGAAAAGGTGTATAAAAACAAAATAGAAAGGAATAAATTTCGAAAAATTATCGATTACGCTTGTTTGATGTTGAACACTTCGATAATATATATAAATTTCAAGATTCTCAGAGAAAGGAATCTTGAATTAAAATGAATTTAAAGTTATGTGATCTTGTAATTAAAGATGCTTAGTGATATATAATATGTTACAAAAATAATAGTAAAAAATATTTGCTTAATCCTCTAAGTTACAAATAATAAAAAAAAAGAAAACCTTAGCCGTTGATTACCGTGTATCAATTCTGGTGCCTTTTGGACGAGGAATAAATTTTCATCCATCACTTCCCAATAAATTATAAATTGAATTTCGATTCATCACTTCAGAGGACCTTCTTCCAATCTTTAGTTCTCCATTCTACGCTCTCCTTTGCACATTCCGGTTGGATCATCCTATTCTTTTTTCGGATGAAGGGTCTTTTTTACAATCACAATCATACAAAACAAGCGCGTGCACACTGTCCAGCTACATTCTGACGACGTCTTATGGTTCCTCAGATCAACGCGTCTTGAAGTTGAGTCGTTTTTCTTGGTGATCTTGATCTTCGAAGATCGTGAACACTTTTTTCATCATTCTGCCTCATTACTATGTGGCCCTCAATTAATTTGGGATTTCCAAATTGTTTCAGCTTTTTAATAATCAAGAGAAGAGTGGCCAAACGCATGTTTTTCCTGTCTTCATACAGAGAGTATTAAAATAAACACTGATATTTTTACTTGGGAAGTAGAATTCTAATGCTTTGAGGCTTAAACAAGTGAGTTTAGCACACAATGACGCAGCTGTAATTTTGTTTCGCATACAACAACCCAGTACAACAGTACCCAGTTTTGTTGTACAACAACCCAGCTCTATATACGAAGCATCTAGGAACTTAAGAACACGAAAAGATAATTTGCATACAGCTTGTATAGAAAGAAAGCAACGGATTATTTTAAAGGCCACATATTTCGCATGGAATTCCTCTGCTCAAACCACGGAGCACTTCTGTGTGAGAAATTTTATTACATAAATTTTGTTTAAGTATTAAAAACATGAATTGTATTGGACCAACTCAAAACTTTTGATTTCCATTTTTAAATTCTCTTTTGGTGTTTGTTAAATTTCAAATTTTCAAGTATAGTATTGATTGCTTACCATGTAGGAGGACTAAAGCAGTGAATTAACATCATTGAGAAATTTTGCTTACTTAGAACGGAAAAACAAATCGTTTCAGAACTTTTGCTCCCTACTGTATGTTCTTTGTTTTGATATCTTGGTATGCTAAATTAGTTTAGAATAATACTTACATAAAAAGATACACGTCGTCTATTTTCAAATCTGTTGTTTGTCGGCAGGACCAATAAAGTTAATGTTCCGGTTGGTTTCTTTTAAACCACGTTTTCCTTTATTTTGACTTAAAGAGGACAAAATAAAATAAAAAGAGTCAGAGGGTAAATAAATGTAGCAATCAGCCATCTTGACAAGAAACAGGGATTGTGGCTGAGTCAACACAGGGCTTGATTCCTGATGTTACTGCATAGAAGGGAATAGAAGATACAGGAAGCCAACTTAGAGAAAATGGGATCTTAAAAAGAAGAATGGGAAAAAAAGAACATTCGACAACTGCCTTGCATTGGTCGCTTTTGGGGTGCTAGTGATATCATTAATCACAATTCGTCCTGCTCGACACCCCCATCTGAGATAGGGTGTAGAATAAATTTACAGCAGCTTCTGGTCTTACATAAGAATATCCTTTTTCTTTTCTTTTTGGGTGGCTTATTTAATACTGTATTATTTTGTCTTGAAATTTTTCGCTTGTGGTAAATTATAATTTATTGTTTTTGAATCTATCTTACAGGCTAGTTTGTGCTAAGTTTTGGGTGGGAACGCCTGAAATTTCTTTTAAATGAAAGAAAGTGAAATAGCAAGTTATGTCCCCAACGCGACATGAATTTAGTTGCTTTTCCCTTACTTACACTTTAAATTAAATTATAAAAAATGAAAAAACATCGTTCTATCATAAAAAGTGAAGAGATTATCCTTTAAGTTATAAGAAATGAAAAAGTATCGTTTTGTTTGAAAGGAAAAATGGAACGTTATTTATTAAGTTATAAGAAACTAAAACATATTGTCTTGCTTTTATTTAATTTGTTGTAAAAATGTGTGTTGCCACTCAAAGAGTAGTAAAAAAAATAATTTAAACGTATAAAGAATTATTTTTCAGTGCAAACACTTTAAAGCAATAACCAATCATATATTTTTTGTCTGATTATTTCTGTCTTGTTCCTAATGTATTTTAATAAATTAAAAACAGTAATTTCAAATTGGTGTTATTTTTGTTGCCAGTATGATAGATTGTGATTAGGTTGAATTCTAATGTGATTATTTTATGTTCTGAATCTTATTATTTGACTGTTTTTTTTTAAATTTATAGTTTCATTGCTTTCAAAAGTCTAATTCCTTAAAAAAATATCTGCAACATTTGGATCTCTGATTCACAAAATATGGGTGGTAATAGCAAACTGGAAATTTTTCCTCAATAGTTTAGCCAGAAGGGCTGAAAAATAGCTAAACTTTGGATCGTTCCCTTGACCAAACTATGGGTACTATATTTTCCAATTTGTCGCTACCCACTATATATTGTGAGTTTGAAATTCGAATCCGTCGAAAAAAAGGTATGTTTATTCAGAGGAAGTACGTTTTTGTGTCTGATTTCGTAACTTAAAATATCGTCTGCCCTAATTAATTAGCATAAGGGTCACCCCCTAAGAACTTTAAGATTTAGTCCTAAAACGTGAAGATCCGATCAATAGATCAAAAGTTATTCTGGGTGGTCCGTTTTTTATTTTCGCACTCTACGTCTATCATCTTCAACTATAAAAATTGCAATTTATCAATTGAGAATTCTATCATTGCATCAAAAGTTATTCAGTTTATTTCAGTCTGTTTAGGCACCATAAGCTCTTTCATTTCTTTTATATATTTATTGAGTGTCAAAGTTTATTAAATAATTCTGAGTCACATAGTAATATATTTATTTAACCAGTTTGTTCGAATTTATCACAACATATTAGTAATACCAAGCAATCACTTTTCTGTACTAATTTTATCACAATTATAATTTTTTGTACTTATTGCTGTATTATCGTAATTATTTTTTTATTTTCTAATTTAAAGGTTATTACAATAATTACGTTCTCTACTTATTAATAGATTGTGATAATTATTTTTTTCTAGACTAATTTTTTGACTATCGTAATCATTATGTCCTTATCATTATGACTATCGTAATCATTATGTCCTTATTTGACTATCGTAATCATTTTGTCCTTATTAGTGGGTTATCATAATTTTCATTTTCTGTACTTATTTATGGGTTTTCATACTTATTTGTTTGTGCTATTTTTTTAAAATATGAGATCTATTTCTGAACAACTCTATATTCAAAGATGTGACTTATTATTTGTGTATGTTGCAGGAGTGCCCGTGGCTTTATGCACATGAAGATAGTTCATAGCGACGGCCGGTTCATTCTAGGGCAGTTCAGTAATCCATTTTCTAGCATACCCGAAATGATTCATCACTATTCCATCAACAAGCTGCCCATCAAGGGAGCCGAACACATGTCCTTGCTTTATCCAGTCATCGACCAGCTTTTGTAACAATTGCTGCCTCCTTCTTCCTTTCGACGGCAGCTCCCCCTGGAAGACATCGTGTTGCTCAAACTCTTAACTATTCAGTATGACTCTTATTATACATTCCTTTGTGTGTCGTCCGAATCTGTTGTGTACTGAAATGTTTGGTGATTTCATTACGTTAACTCATGACTTTGCTGATATCCTGTTTTGCCATTTATGACTATTTGAGATTTTATAGGCAATTGGGTTGTGTGCAATTAAAATACCATGTATCCTAATTATGTTATAAAAAAATCCATTATGATATATCTATATATAAATTTCTTTATATATTTTCACATTGTTAAAATTATGTCACTTGTTTCGAACCATCCTCGTCGTTAGTCCTACTTCGTTAATCGTACTAATTAGTCCTACTGATTAGTATTACTGATTTACTTTGTTGTCCTACTAATTTAAAACGCATATGCACTATATTTAAATCAATATTAGTTTTTAGTTATAGTTTAAAGTTTTCTGAAGTATTCAGTACCTTTATTTCAAATATAAATACATAGTATGAGAAATTTAAAGAATAACTTTTCGAATCAAAATAATCAATAATGTTTTATTTTTAAATATTGACATTGTGTTTTTGTTGAAGTATGTACCATTATTTTATTTGATTACAGGTTTGTGTGTGAGTATTGTATCATTTTGTTTTAATTTTTCTTTTAAGTATTAAACAAGTTCTGGCTCATTTGTAACTGCTAGTCCTTATTAAAAAAAATTTCTCATGCTAGTTAAATCATTACTAGTCATTAATATTGATTAGTTGTTTTCTTTTGTTTGTACTGACTAACTTCGTTTCGAAAACATTGTATATTTTGCATTCGGAAGTTTAAAAAAATATGACTTTTTTCGGATTAGTTAGAAGATAATTTTGTTGACTAAACTTGTTATTTTTTAACAGAGAATTTCGAACTCTTTCTCCAATTAAAAGCATTTTCAATGATTATTTTATTGTTTTTTTCCCTTGAACCAAACAAAGGCATTGCTATAAAAATATCACTTATTAATTTTAGATAGTATTTATTTAGCACTCTCGTCATTTTCTTGGTTCTTTTAGTCATTTTTAGTTGTTTTATAAGAAGTAATTTTTTTTAAAACTTTTTCACATATTATTTATAAACAACTCCTAACCATTTTCAACTGCAGGATACAGCATTTTTATCCTTATTAAAAAATATAAGAGAACAAACTTTGAACTTCCGAAACACGAATTAGTTTTGCTTTAAAATTTCTTCTTTTTATTTTACCCCCTCTGAAAGAAATTACCTTCGATCAACATTTGATCCTTTAACACCTAGAAAAAGCCTTTTTCAAGGCGCAGTTTTCTTTCAGTTCGAAATCCCAGTTTCCCTGAGTTAGGCCTTTTCAAACACTCGATAAAACCGGTTGGTTTCGACAAGAATTGAGATTTCTTTAGCAGTCGGTCTTAAGCTTTGTTTGCTGCCACCATCAACTGCAGAAATATTACCTTTGAAGGAAAAAATGTTGGCTCTATTCGATGGAGAAGATTCGCCATTTTCATCTAATGGTATTTTTCTGTCGGATGGTTTTAAAGAGAGATAGCACAATACTGGGCATTGAATTATATATTTGCTTTTCTCTTTGTTCTTTTATACTGCTTGGATATTTTTTGCACCAGTTTTGGCAAGATAAATAAACTACCTTTTTTTTTAAATGATCTTATTTCATCTTCAAGGAATCTTTTTTTTTTATTCCATGTCAATTTAATAGATAAAAATAAACTTATCTGATTAGTTTTGATTTTTACAAAAGCATTAAAATTTACCCTTTAGTATTGCAGTTGGAAACTTAATATTTGTAATTGGAAATCTAATTATTTTAATCAGAAACTTAAATGGTGCATTTGAAAATTTAATTGTAATTATTGAAAATTTGATTCCTGCTCTTATAAATTAGTCACATTTAAGAAAACCTTTGTTTATTTATTATTCTTATTTTTTTCTATTTGTATATACTTTTAAGTGAAATATGAATTTGGCTTTATTTAAATATGCCTTTTTAGAATGTGCAATTGTAAGAAATTGGAATAATTTGCAGTTTAAAAACCCTGAGCAAAATTTCAAACTTGCAGGATGCATTTTTATTATCTTATTTTGTGTCTGGTATGGATTTATTGAGCTATGATGTCTTCAGATGATTAATTATTAATCATTAAAACTAAATAAACTATGTCTTAACCGAAAACTAAAAACCTGTTTTAATTATATAATCTTTCTTATATTATCCTGAACATAATTCAAATATGTCTGATTACATTAAATGTATTGTGTAAAGCGAAGCCAGACGAATGTTGAAATATAAGAATATATAGATATATATTCATCACATTGATCTATATGAGTCCAGATATTTTCACAATTATAAATAGAAACATATTGTAAGAGTATATATATATAAATAAATAATATATATTTAGGAATATGTAGTCTATTAGACAACGAGTTTATTGTAAATACTGTTTTGATGTAGTTTGTAGGTATGCAAAAATGAGAGGCCACATTAAATACAGTACCACTGTATCAATTCCACTTACCATTTGTACTTAACCAGCAATTTATGCTGTGATACTGCAATGTACACAAAATGTCACTTTAAATGTGAGCAATAATTTTTATTTTCCATATTTATCTGTGACTATCTATTTCTTTTATTAAAAGTTAACCAATTTTATTTATGATAATTTTAGAATTTATGTAAAATGTTTATTTACTCTAAAACACCAGGCTCATTGTTTATAAACTCATTCTGTTAGCTAACCAGAAACTCAACTTTTTTTAACGATACTTACTCTTCCAATTTTTCGAAATTCTTTGTGCCAAAGTTTTCTATTGGTGTGAGTTCTTATTGTAGAAATCATATATATATATATATAAACTTATTGTCAATAATTCTACCATCTAGTTAACTAATATTCTTACACTAATTTCTATATCTGACTGATGAATAGGAGAGAAATTGTCTCATATTTCAATCAAAAATTATGTTTTAATTTTTACATCTTTATGCGTGTATATAGTTTAATAAAAAGTACATATTTATTACTTTTTTAATACTTTTTAATTAGATTATTTTAATATGACTGAGATTATTTGTGTTAGTTTTTTGTGATATATTTTTTGTTTTCGTGTGCCTAAACGCACAACACTATATTCTGCATAACAGATTTCAACTTTTCCATATTTCAACTTTTTCAAAAGCAAGATTGTATTTTTCTTTGATTCTGAAAATTTTTAAATTTTGTCCATCTTGATTCTTTAGTTTGTTATTTTTTTTATATTAGTGTATGTATTTTAATTCAGTAATAGTAATTTAAATTTTTCTCTATGGATTATTTAACATGAAATGAATTGGAAAAATAATTTTCTGTATTGAAGGAGATTAAATTATTATTTTCAGCTTTTTATGCATAGTTATTTTGTGCGTTTTTTTAAATATATATTTATTTGTTAGTTTGAGTTTTATATAATTTTTTAGTAAAATTGTTTTGAATTAAATAATCAAAATATACATTAAAAATTTATTTTATATTTTTCATTTTAAGAATTTTTCTGCCATTAAGAGATAAATTTTTGGTTTAACTAAATTAGAATTTTTTTTTATTAAGTATTAATTTGAATGTTTAGTTTTTCTTTATTAAATATATTGATACTCTTTAAAAATTAACGAAACATTTGAAGCTTATTAAATTCTAGTTTTGCTTTTTGTATTTTTTTTTCTTAATTTTTGTGTTGTTTTCTTTTAGTTTAGTTGTCTACCTCCATGTGAAATTCATTAAAGATTCATTATTATTTTAATTTTTTTGAATATACTTTTTGTTAATTATTCTTTTCTTCTTTGTTTAAAGTACTTAACAAGAGAACAACGTGCACTGATTTACTATAAAAATGATTCAAACTTTATACAAATAAAATAGATATGTTTAAATTTTCATTACCGTACACATTTTTTTTGGCTGTGAAATTTTGTATTTACAAGTTGTCTTGTTAGTGCACATAAAATGTTCTATGTACCTTAATGATTGTTTTATATTCATATCTTAAAAACTTTGGATATGCATATGCATTTTGTGTTAACTTTGAAAAGTTTTAAAACGATTTATAAATTTCCTTCATTAGCTCTTATAATTTTATTTATTAATTCATTCTTTGTGTTTGAATATTTCAGATCAAAATAACCTAATAATTAAACATTTAACAGAATAGCGTGGTATTTATGGCATAATTTTAATGAATTTCTTATTAGAAAAACATTTAGTACCTGAGAAATAGTGTGGTTATTGTAATCTACTAATATTTAAAAGTGAATTAATTAAAGTATTTAATGATTTTATTTAATAATATCGATTTGCTTTGATCATAAATTAATTAGCGAAAATAGTTTATTATGTGTATGGTTTAATTTATGGTTTTATTCTTTAAAAATTTTTGACTTCGTTAATAAATTTTTACTGTTATCCTAACACACTTTGTATACAATTTTTTTTTTATATGATTAGTACAATCTTTTTTTATTTTTATTTCATTTTAAGTGTTATTAATTGAAATTTATTCAAGATTGTAGTTTTATTCAGCCTGCTTTAAATTGTGTACCTTTTATTTATGTTAAAACTGTTGTGATCACTTTGCTCTTTCCTGAAAATTGTAAGTTTCTCTGAAAGTTTTATGATAAGATTTCCTTTTTAATTCTAAAAATTCACAAAAAAATACCCAAAAGTGCATGGGCAATTTAAAAATATCTCTTTGGCAATTACAGATGCTACTCTTATCCGACTTTTTTGCTATCCCTGCTTTAAAGGAAGAATTTTAGTTGAGTTGAGTTGTTTGCTGCCTTTCTCCACAAACTAAATGTTATATTTCGATGTTTGTCGATAAATATACCGAGTCAGAGGAAGGTATGTTAGACTCATTTGATGATAGCAGGGACCAAAGTTAAGAACTGAGTTGCTATCACGTTATTATAGCAACTCAAACAATTGAATGAATTGACAAAAGTAAAATGAATAAATTTCACTTAATCTAGGCATAAATGTTCAAAATACATGTCTTGATGGTGCATGTAATATCACTGTTATTTTACTTTTTATTCACAGTAATAAGAAATCGAAGATTACCCAGTTTCACGAGTAAAATAATTGTTGCATAATCGAGTATATCTTTTTAGATGTACAGTTTTTGGGGGATTTTTTTGTTACATTTTTCTATCTCTACAAATTTTACAAGTATTTTAGTAATTATTTTTATAGTCATTTTATTAAGAAACTGTAGGTTGTACATATAAGAATAGAGCTGGGTAATCTTTGGATTTGTGTACTTAATTCCAGTCGTATTTTTAAATATCATACTTTAATCCAGAAATTCAAGAAGAAAAAAAAACTACTCCATTGAAACAGTTAATGTAGTGTGTGTAAATTATTGTAAAGTTTGTGTTTAGAAATTGGAAAAAATAAAAAATCTTTGAAAACAAAAATGTTTGTGTGAATTTTTTCTCTCTGCCAGTCATTCTGTCAGTATGTATTAATTTAATCTGTAAATCAATAAATATATAAGCATGTTTTGGATACCAACAAGGAATAATAACTTTAAAAAAAAAAAAATCCGGTTTAAAATATACAATTAACTATTATAAAAATTGTTCTGTTTTTTTCAAAAAAAAAAATTTACTAAAAAAAAATATTTAATGCATCAAGATATGAAAACTTGAACAATTTATAATTCAAAAGATTTTACTAAAATGCATTATGAAATAATTATATTTTCATAAACTATTTTTTGTAAATGTTTGTATTAGTTTCAGTTTTGTGCAATTAGATGTTGCCAAAATTCTTAATAATGTAACGAGACGTTGAGCATTGATTTGCCAACAAAAGTTTTTTTTTAAAATTTGTAATGGGATACCTGCAAGTGACGTAGTGTAGGCATCTTGATCTTCATTGGTTGTTGAAACGTGGTATTTGTTTAAGTTAGAAACTGTTCTTTCCATTCTATTTCGAGTAAAAGTCAAGCCCTTCAAGTATCAATTCTCTTAAATTACACATTCTTTCTTAAAGATTTCGATTGTTTTAATTTACACTGAGACTTAACTCAGAGAAGCTCATGTGGATCATAGCAAATCATGGCTCTCATGTGGATCATAAGCAAACTAATCATGCATCGAAGTTGCCAGGTACACAAAACAAAAATTTATCACGGTTGCAATAAAATAATAACTCTAAGTTAAGTAAAAGAAGTAGACGAAAAAGAATTATATTTTAACTAATTCGATGTGCGATACGGCTCTGTATTTAACTAACTTGTCGTTAGTTAACATTATAACTTATGTAGAGAAAATTAGCCCTAATTTTTACGCCATTTTGCTGAAGATTAGCTTGTGCTAATGTCATATTCGTATTGGTAGTTACGCCACATTACTCCCCGTCCAGAATTTTATCTGTGATAGAATTCGATGAACGATTACCACTAGTTGATTCATGCTGTTTATATATTTATATCATTTTCGCTCATTATATTTTTTCTTCTTTTTTTTTCTTTTTTGTTAATAGCATTTTGCTCATTTTTTTTCTTCCTATATTGTTTATTACCTACAATGGATTCCCGGGCATTGTGATATTGCAGGAAATGAGAGGGCTGATGTTTTGGCAAAGAGAGGCACAAGAATTCTCCAGGCTCTTAGTAGCCCAGTCCCCTTTTCAGCTTTAAAAAGGATTATTAGATCAAAAATCCATGGGGATTTCCACCAACAATTTTCAGAAAGGGTAAAAACCAAAGTGTGGAGAGATCTTCGACAGAACACCATTCCAGACTGGCCGCGCCGCGAAGCGGTGGCTCAGTTTCGACTACATACCGGACATGACTGCCTTGCCGCGCACCTGTTTCGTTTAGGGCTGGCACCTGATCCCTATTGTTCTCTATGCATGAGCCAAGCTGTTTTGGATGGCAGCCACATCCTGTGCTGCAGGGCCCTCCGCGGGTCGCCGTCTACCGAGCGATATTGGGAAGCAAGAGCGCTCCTAAGGAAATGACTTTTTACTTTCTTGTTTTGTTCCTATGTTTTTGCTTTTTCATGTCAATTACCTCTGCCATTTGAAATAAATAAATAAATAAATAAATATTGTTTATTACCGGGAAACTTTATTTACTTCACCGGATCTTTTTTTTTCTTTGAGCAGCTTATATTAAGCAAATCAACTGTTTAATTGTGGACCATCCATCATGTTAGCGAGTTTATATCACGTCCGGGTCACCACAATGTCAGATGCATCGTAAAACTCTTACTAATTTCCTATAAACCTTTATTACAATATTTACAAGTTATAAAAAGCGATCCACTTCTATTCTTAACATTCTCCATGAAACATAAACTGATAAACTGTTGCCATTCTAATTCATATAAGTATTAAACTAATGAATAAAATATTACAGATTATGAACGATGACGTTATTACAAATTCTCTACACGACACTAATCATGCATCG